CGCTGCTGGTTCGTAGCTTCGAGCATGCGGAGATCTTCATAAATTTTGAATTGAAAATGATCCAAACTATACGATCGGAAAGATTCGCTGTGAAAAAGAACGCGGTGTGTCCTTCATTAACTTCGCCGCCAGCGCTTAACTTTATCTTATGCATTCGATAAAATAACCGGATATCAGTAGCCCAGTTCACGGCTGAAAAAAATTCACTCGAGATTCGATCGGAAAACACAGATATGTAATCACCCCGCGGCCGCGGCGGCGTAACCCGCGTGACCGTCATGATCGATCGGAAGACATGCGATCCCGGCACGACGAACCGAAGGTGGGCTCTCCTCAGCCTCGCCGACACGTACGAGGTCGCCTAACAAAGGTGGCGGAGACCGCGGACGTAGGTCGTTAAAATAATAAAGGTTGTTATTGAACGGCGCCGCTGCTGAACTGCCAGGCACCCGCGCAAAAATTTGAATTTCTCCCGCTCGGCATCTGTCGGTCTCGCGCTTTGCGTCTCTCATCTCATCCCGGTCTCTCGTCTCCCTTACGCCCTTTCTCCCCCGCTTTCCATTCCGCCGCCGTTTCGCCACCACCGCGAACCTTGGCAATATCAGAGAGAGAGAAAGAGAGAGCGACCCGATATTATGCCATTCTCAATACTGCACGCAGCTTTGGCCGCGCGCGGCAGCGCCGTATTATTAAAGGCATCGTATACAGAATGGCGGGGGTAACGAGTAAGAGAGGAGGAAAAGAGGCGGCAGAGAAACGACGAGGAGAACGATGATTTTGACGGTAGCGACGTTGTTTTTTCGCCTTCACCGTTACTCCATGAATATTCCGTGGAGTTCTAATCGCGTAGGAGGAGAACACAGGAGGAAAGAAAAATTCGACACGGAACAAAGAGAGAAATATGAAAATCGGAGTGCGCGTTGCGCTCATTTTGTTAACATTACGCAAGTTTTCGTGAAAAGAAATCATATCTCTCTTTCGTAAAATGTAGTGTACGAAGAAATCCAGATAAACTTTATCCCCCATATACGGTGATTTTAAATGCGCTCATTAGTGGATAAATACAAAAATCTATTTTAATATTCCTTTTTAATTCGGGCGAAACATTAAAAAACAATATCTCGATTTTAATATTGCTGTTATCTGACGCTGCGCGCGGCAAATAAGAGGAACGGTGAGCTCGGAGTACGAAAGACGGAATTCTCCTAACTCCATGTCAGCCATCTTCTCTCTTCCCCCCACATAAATACTGCATGCATCCGCGAAGAAATCTAAGAAGAGCGTCCGTGTGGACGCAAGGGCGGCAAGGGCGGCGAAGGGGGGAGAGCGGACGAGAAAAAAGAATGCAGAGGAGAGAAATATACGCCTCCTCTTCCGCTTGGCATCGAGGTAGGTCGGAGATTCGCCTTCTACGGTGACGTATTATGCAAGCGGGTGAGGGAGGTGTGGTGGCTGGGGCACGGGGGTGGTGGGAGAGGGCGTCGTTTGGCAATCTTAGGGGATTCCGTGGATACAATGGGATCTCAATACATCACTTCACCTAACCCGACTCTCCCCTCCCTCTCTCTCTCTCTCTCATTCTCTCTCTTTCTCTTCCGTCTCTTTCACCTCTCCAGCTTTCCTTCTCTGGTGCCCACCTCTTCGGTTGCCGTCGTTTCTGCGGAGCAGCACACCAACGAGGCTCCCAGATGCCGTAATAGCTTAGGAGCCGGCGTAATAGCTGCCACTGCCTTCCTAGAGAGAGTTATAGTTCAACAACGCAGAAATGGAATCGCGAGAGAAAGGGGGTTGGGCGGAAGGAAGGTAGGCAGCAGGATGAGAGTGGAAGAGGGTGGCACACTCGCTGGCGAGGAGAACGCGGAGAGGAGCCACCGGAGGATCGCCGACCCGAAGGATGCTGAAGGATCCCGGGCGAAACGACGACGGGGGAACGCAATAACTGGCGGAGGACAGACGATTACGAGGATGCGAAATGTCGCGTATGGCGCGATGCATCGTGAATCGCACGGAGCGCCGAAATCGAACTTGCCGTCGGCAGAGACGCGATTGGAAACTCCGCGGAGGATGAGAGACATCTCTTTGGCGAATTTGTCTTCCATAATTCCGCTTGCGCCGCAAAACCGGTTTAGCATCTCACGTGACTCAATAAATTGGTTAAATTCTTTAATGGGCATAACACTTTGAAAGGGAAATCTATCTATTTTCAAGTGAGTTCTGAGATTTATCAGCCAGGAATGTATATTAAACAACAATTAATAATTTTAGCATAATATTCGAATTTAAAGCGGAATTTGTTTAATAGAAGGAAGATGAAACTGGAGTTAAAAATTTTATCATTTGAATTCAGAATATACAATTAGTTACATGTTTATCTCCATAATGATAATTCGTAGCAATTTTGGCTAAACCATATATTTTACTTAAAGCGAATGCTTTAGATAAAATATTTTATGCATTAATTGAAAACGAGAGATGAGACTTTGAAATGTAAATGATAACGCTACATTAAGAATTTTATCAAATATGAATGTATAGGTGATCAATCTAAAAGATATGTCAAAATTAGAATAATTAATAATTAATTAATGAATAGAAAAGTAGTGTGCACATTTAGAAAATACTTTAGAAAGATTCTTTTTATTATAAAAGTAGATATAATAGAGAGTAGAAACAGAGTAAGTAATGGTTCTAATATTTTCTTAAATGGAATCTGTGCTGGAGCTATTCAAATCTTATGCAGTTCCAAATACGGTTTTCAACTATATATTACATTTTCCATGAACGCCTATTAATACAAACTCTAATAAAATATCCTGTCTCAGCTCATTTATCTAATATTTGAATCAAATATAATATAAAAACGCAATCGTATTTAATTCTACATTTTCATTTTACTACCATGCTGAATTAATTAATATCACATTAATTTCGTACGGATGCCCGGATGTGGATGCATAGTGTTTGTTGCAACGTTTGTTTAGTATGATAGATTTGTTTTCGTCAGAATTATTTTAATTTTAATTTTAAGAGGCTCAACACACAAAATTCAATATTTGTACATTCTTGTCAGAAAATTAGATGCTATTTAAATGAAAATTTGTACGATGGTTGATGATACATTAATTATATCTCATGCGATTTCAGAAACTTTTTATGATTATTTTCACGCATATAACTTTTCGCGTAACAAAGCTAAGCTATTGGTATATTTAGCATGCGCCGCTTTTGGAAATTCATACGACAAATTCTGCAATGACAATTTCATTATCAAATAAAGTAATTAAAATTAATGAATTTTCCGCATATATCAAATCGTGGCGTCAGCGGTAAAGGTAGCGTCAAATTTGACCGAATTCAGATTTATAATCTTCTGTTATAATATGAATCTATTGCAAACTAATTAAGCATTAATTAAGCAGAAATATTTACGTTTGCATATTCGGCGAACGTTGCTTATAACTTACTTACATAATATACATTTTGATACTACTTAACTTCCTGTTAAATTTTTAAACAAAGTTGGAAATTCACGAAGAAGATATCGACGGAATTGCAGCGCGAGCGATACAGAAGCCCAAAGACTTTCCGCACGCCTCGAAATTCTTTTCTCAAAAAGCAAGTTTATCGACTACCACCCGTCAAACAGGTACCACCCCGGTCTCTGCCGTTGCACTTTCCAGAGGAGAAAATCACGATCACGTCTGCGACCTCCCTCATTTCTGTTTACCGTGCACCGAGGCGCGGGCGCGCTACGTGATGGCGAATACTGTCATCCCGCATTCCAGTCGCGAGCATCGGGAAAGATAGAAAGAATCTCTCGTTGCACCGCCCGTCCCACCCGGCTCCCATCCTACCCGTTTCCTCCCACCCGGCCCGTCGTCCCCTCCCCCCCTTTCCTTCCAACGCGACCCGGCGCGCGTAGAAGGTGCATATTCAGGAGAGAAACCCGTGGAAACTCCGGGACGTTGACACCAGAAGCTGGATTCTGGACGTGGGGATGGCGGTGGTAGGTCGGACGCGACCCGTCCGTTAACATAGTATCCCCCGCTAGGTAGTGGGTGGCACACGGAGTAAGACAGGAGCGGGTGAGGAAGCGAGGTCGCGTGGTACGATGGTGGTACCCGGTGGTGGTGTGTCGCACAGGAGGGGGGGGGGGAAGGAAAGAGATGCGAGTTGTTCCAGGCATAGTGAGACGTTCGAGCAGGACGGATGCGGCGCCTCCGTACCGGACCGAACAAGGATGACACGATAATACCGCCGACATCGTCGCCGTCGTCCTCGTCCTCGTCCTCATCCTCATCATCGTCTTCGTCGTCGCTGTCGACGTCGTGCGGTCGCGGACCACCGTCGGGGTCCCGTGGAAAAGGCGTGGCGACGTCGCGTTCGCGCACCTTTGCACCTGGTGCGCCGGGGAAGACACGCCTCCGTGGAATTCCTCTCTCCGGTCCGCCTACACGCCCGCTCTCTCACTCTCCCTCTCTCTCTCTTTCTCTCTCTCTCTCTCGTGTCCCTCTCTACTTCCTCCTTCTCCTCCGCGTATCGCCGTGTGCGCTCCTCCGACTTTCTCATCCGAGCGTTCCTCACTCTGCCTCTCTCTCGCTCTCTCTCTCTCTCTTTCTCCCTTCCTACTCTCTGTCGCCTAGGAGGAGATCAAGGATCTCTATTCTCTCCACCAAGAGAGCTCTCCCTGCTTCCCTCCCTCCCACCCTTTTTAGCCACCACCGGCGTAGCATCGCTGGCAGAGAGGACGAGGACGAGGACGCACCGCCACAACCGCCACTACCATCGCTACTACCGTCTCACTACCACCACCATCACTATCAACACTACTCTACCGCTAACGTCTCTCACGTCTCCTCTTGGGGCCTGTATCCTGGCTAAACCGCTACGCTCGCTTGTTGCACATGTATGCAGCTTGGTGCTTGGTGCACATACGCGCCCATCGCACGCATGCTCGCCGAGCTCGACGTCTAGTATGAGCGTGGGTGCCGTGTGTCTAGCCCTCTCGCCGGGAGAGCCGCACACATAAAAGTGCGCGCGCAGTGCTCCTCTCTCGTTCTCTCCTCTGGCCATCCGCCCACTCGATATTCGTCGGTGTCCCGGCCACGTGATTCCCCTCTCGGGCCTCTCTCATCTCCTTGGCCCGGCATAGGGTTTCACGGGAGGAAGAACGGATGGAGGGAAGGAGGGCGGAAAAAGACGGAGCAAGAGTCTTCGGCGAAGTGCGATTACCGCAGACTCGCAGAATCCTTCGGCTTTTCTTCCCCTCTCTCCGCGTCGCCACCTTTCGCTCTTCGCTTCCCCCGCGTCTTCTTTCTTCTCTCTTCTTTTTTTTTCACTTCCTTCCGATGCGAAGCTACCGTCGGGATGTTCCTACGTGCACGTCTCTCGTACCGAGGGACGAAAGACGTGGGTATTGATCAGAGCCCGCCGCGGCTGCGGAAGTAGCCGACATTATTTCACGGGGAACCGGCTGTCTCCTCGTGTTCGCTCGCTGTTTAACGCTCATCCGTTCGCTTTTATTAATTAGACGGCCAAACAATCTTCCATTTTATATGTTTTACGATATTGAGAAACTTGCTGAACGCGAGGGGGATGGTCTATTGAAGGACTAAACAGGCTGCTCTTGTGCTAACATGTATCGTGAAATGGACAGGACTTTCGAGGGACTTCCCACGCATCTGAAAATTCAGTTTGACATCATCCGTCATCCAGAAAAGTAAGTATAATTCATTAAAAGTTATGCTATTAAACTTTATAAAAAAGACAAGGTTAACAATAGGTAATTATCACATATAGAAACTGTAGAAAATTTTTGTTATAATTCTTACAAATTTACAAAAACAGTTTATCACTTTCTCGAGATTTATTAAAAAGGAAGGGAAAGGAAGATTGTGCCAATTACGTTTATCACGTAATCACTCTTCTAAGAGAATAAAAATCAGCGGCATCAAACGCTGTTTGGAGAAATAACCCGCATCTTTAATTTATTCTCTATGTATGTGTGCAAGCGTAAGATCTGTACAATGAATGAATGTCAGGGTACTCAGCTACAATTTTAGCTATAGAAATTTTAATTTTGTCCAATATGTAGCTAATACGATTGTTTATGTTGTCATTTTCAAAATTAGTCGCATAAATTGTCCCTTTTCTTGAAACAAAATCTCACATTTGATCGAAATTCAAAGTAGAGAGAAATCGAGACGGAATAAATGTTTATACTCATCGCGTAGTAAAAGACAAAATAAAAAAGAGCGGAATAAATCAAGCATGGAACCACCTGAGGAAAGGCTTGGGATTGGCTGTCTATATTCAGATTTTCTCAGATCATCAATCTCGACTTTTGTACCGCTACTGGCTAAGTAAAAGATGGGAGAGAAAGAAGGAGCGAGCGAAAAATCAGAAACCGTGAAAATAGCGAGTGAATAGAGTACAGGAGAACATAAAGCGAGGATATACGCGGTAAATGGAAGGATCAATACGCGTTTCTGCTAGATCGCCGACATTCCTTATCCTCGGGGACTTGACACTCGTAACGAGCACCGCCGTCGCGAACAAAAATCGCGATGTGTCGCGTAAAAATGAAATGGTACTTACATGTGCGAAGACATCACGCGACACATGCCGCCGCGTTTATTTTTAACGATGTGCATGTATCTGGAATAAAGCGCACGCGTGACGTTGATATCAATGTCGTGCATTTTCGATAATTTCGGTAATTTGTTCTCCTTAAATAAATAGACTTAAGTTCCCTATTTTCAAATTGTAACTATGAATTGCGCTTATTTCCCTACAAATCGTAATGTAACGGTATAATAGCTAAAATATTTTAAGTAAATCAAATATACACGGAAAAAAATTGAAGTTGCTTCAATTAAACGTCGACGTCACGGGCTGCCACAAACATAAATAGTTAATTCAATTGGATATTGCACCAAATATTTAAATTATTAAAACAATTATCTGATGTATTTTGTTCATCAATTAATTGATGTTACATCAATAGGTTTTATCTCAATTACACTGATGCTGTTCATACATCATTCTTTTTCTGTGTGGAGGTAGCATCTTAAGATAAATCGTGTTACTGTGCATTGTATCTTTAACAATAAATATAACAAAACGGCGTCAAAATTAATATCTACGAATGTTACCTCGTATTGAATCGATGTCCTCGGAAAAACGCGTGAGTCGAACGCACACGCGCACCGATTGTGAGACGATCGTATTTTATGTCGCATCGTAATTCAAATATCGCAGTATATAAAATTCAAATCGTCCGTCGTAAAGTAAAAAGTCGTTCCAAGTCGAATAAGAGCGGTGTATTAGTGGCCGGACCTACGTCAGACTTTGCACTTAACGCACAGTAAAAATAGTAAATATTCTTTCATTGTGTTTCTCCGCGTCGAAAAGAAATCCAAGTATCGTTAAAAATATCAACTTTTGCGCGTGGAATCCGTTTGCCTTATCGAATCGGGTCGCAAACAACGGAAAAGGGCATTAAGACGCCGTTTACGACGTCGATTAAAATTGGATCAATCTTAATCACGATCCGAAAGCACCGTTATCGCAGTTATCATTGTCGTTCGGCGAATCAAAGTTTCAGTTGCAACGTCACTGTCGTTAATTTATTATTTATAGAGATACATATATACAAAATGTCAAATTTTTTCCATCTTGTTTTTCTGCTTACTCTGAGTAACAATAAAAATAGTAACGAATCATAATAGGTAAATCGATATTAATTTAATTTCAAGAGAGAGTACAATTTTTATAAAGATATGTTTTTAAAAAATTTGATTAAAACTTTCACAGACATTCTCTCACAGTCTATCTTCAGCTTTTCTAGCAGTAAATACCTTGGCATATAACCTGAGCTTAAAATTCTGTTAAAAAATACCTCAAATTGGAAACAGAAGAAAAATCATTATTCTTGTGCTTATATAACAAAAAGTTTAATTTATAAATACGATCAAGTATGTTTTTCATCTTCACGATGTAAATAGTTCAATACTTCAATCACGAATACTTCACTTGTAGGAGCACGCAGCTCCGTTTACCTACGAAACAGTAAACACATATTACATTCATAATCCGAGGTATAATCCGCTTTGCATGCGATCGGCGGTAAACGCGCCGCGTTATTGCACACGCATACACGCCCAACTCTCAACGTGCAATTTCGTCGCATTAAAACGTCATAATGCCACGCGGCGGCATGATGGCATGGCACTCGCGCGACGAATCGACACGGCGCGTTCGCACATTCGCACGCGGCGCGGAGTTACATTGAATTAATGCTCCACTATTCCGCGCGCACGCAATCATACTTAAAAACTCTCCGTGCCTCCGCCTCCTCCCCGCGGGCTCGGAACCCCTCCCCCCCCGTTTCCCCCCCGCCGCATCCGAGACCCGGCGGCGCCGAGGGAAGCGTGCTGCTCGTGTTCGGGAGAGATCGCGCACGCTGGCAATTATTTGCGCAGCTCCTTACCCGCGGCGCGGGTTCATTAAGACACTAATTACCGGCGTGCATGCGTGTGCACGTAAGAAGCTGGGTATATACGACGTGGTACAACAACGACCGGAGCCCGGGTGGTGGCTCGCTCAGCTCAGCGCGAACTTCCCCGCGACGTTGTACCCTTCTTGCCCGAGTATGTAGCGAGCTAGCGAGCGCGCGAGCTCCCTGGCACGTTCCAGACATCTATTTACAAGGTTGCACGTTTCGGTTACGTTGTTAGAGAGACCTAACTTGGCTCCGACCGCCTCGCCTCGCCTGCCTGCCATGCCGTTTGCCCCAGGTTAGTCCGGGGTAAGCACCCGCAAAACCAAACCCTGCAGGCACTGTATAACATTTCGCTGCGCCTGAAAGCTCTTCTGGAACGCGTTATTCACGTTCCTTCCGTTGCGCGTTTTTATCCGTCCCTAATCAATAATAACGAGCTACTACGCTTATTTATGAATAACGACGGATGGCTGTTCAAAGAACTATACTAGGGTTACACATATAATTTAAATCATACATATTTTATAAGTTATTGTCTTATAATGTAGCAATCGCGATATTTATTCAAACGAAATAAACAACCTGTTCATAACATTGATTCTTGTAAACTTTGATTTAATGTTTTCGCGAATCATGAATCACACAAAATACTACACGTAGCTCGTTAACATACCACACTTTTATAAAAATGTTTTCTGTTTAACTATTTACGCGCGTTGCAGGTTATAATAAACGCCAATATATTACTGACTTGTAAATAAAAAATAAATAATAAATAAAGAAGCTAATTGTCACACAATCAGAATTTTACTTTTATCGCAATTATCGTGTCTGCAACGCGCCGCGTAGAAACTGTTGCAGCGGCCACGTGGTGTATCGCGGGTGAGGCTGCGTTTCCCACGGGCGGGGAATGACAGGGGTGTATACGGTCGGCCGATCAGTAGGTAGAGGGGTTGTTTAGAGCGAGCGAAAGAGAGGAAGACAGACGGAGAAAGGGGAGAGGTGGAGAGAAACACCGAGGAGGGGTGAAAAGCACGTGGCGCAGGCGACGCGCGCCTCTCTGCCACCGGGTGGCTGTATATCTATCGGGCTTTCCACCCCCAGCATCCCCCCCACTTGTTGTGCTTTACCGTGTTGTGTTGCTATGTTGCCTTGTGTATCGAGAAAGTTCAACGCCGGCTAGACGATGTTTTCCATCCGGCGGATTTACCGGTGTCAGAATCAACAGGCTTCCTCTCGCGAGAGCAACTTCAAGACAGCACGAAGAAAATGTCTATCTTGATGTAATTGAAGGTTAAAAATAGCGCGGATTTACAGGCAGAATATTCCGACGGCGGAAATAGTTGTCTTTCTCGAAATTCGCAACAGAAGGTGGAGTTGAGACACGGGATGATCTTTTTTGGAATTCAATGGAAATTCTTGAAATATAACGAAGTTCTTTATAATTGAGAATCGTTGTAACAAACTTCACGATAATTTTAATATAGTCGGCCGAAAACGAAATATATTAATACGAAAAAGCCGATAATAATTTTTAGTTACAATGTACAGTTTTTACAAGTTAAATAATTGCCTTAATATTTTAATATTAATAATTATGTCTGTTATGAAAAGGTGGCAAGATACTGAGTCTTGAAGGGGATGTATGATTATTGGACGCCCTTCTTTACTGGGGTGTGCCATGGAATATTAAGAATAGCAGCCCTAAAGGGAATGTTCTGAGCGCCGGCATAAGAAAGTTTTCGAAGAATGCCGTTCAAAAATTCTAATTTTGTTATATTTAGAAATGCAAATTAAATTGTAAAAAGTGTTAAATAGTACTCCGCTCTTGTTTTATGAATAACTTATCAATAACTATAGACTTAACAAATATAATAAATCGACTTCTCATTTTAAAATAAAATATCTTGAGATTTTATAACAAACTTTTATTAACAAAATATATTTATCTAATAAATTTTATTTTATTTATAATTAATATTTGTGTCCCTCTCTCTCTTTCTCTCTCTTTTAATATTACACAGTTTTCTGTCCTATACTTTATTTCATAAAGTTGCCAAACTCTTTCTCTTCTGTAAAGTTTCACGTAATGATATACGTGCTCCAACCAAAAATATAGAAACTCATTTAATCTAGTTTAGCGTCGCGGTCGCTTCTCTCTAATCCTCCTATCTATCCTACCGAAACACATTGGAGCGGGAATTTTTCGCGTCTCG